TGTTGTTAATCCTCACTGAGGATATTTTTTCCATTGAATTTTTTTAGAGAGAGTGGAAAGGAGGGAGGGAGATGGGGGGGGAGAGAGAGAGAGAGAGAGAGAGAGAGAGAGAGAGAGAGAGAGAGATAAACATCTATGTGTGAGAGACACAGGGATTGGTTGCCTCCTGCACGTGCCCCAGGGTCAGGGAGCAAACCTGCAACCCAGGTTTGTGCCCTTGACCAGAAATTGAACCTGAGACCCTTTGGTGCTAACCACTTAGCAACCGGCCAGGGCAAAAAACTATTTTTTAAAGACAGTATGTTTGCAGTAAAAATTTTTTAAAAGTGTTTCCAGCGGTTTGTTAAAAAAATAAGCAAATAATAAAGAATACATAAAATGTCATTCATCTCCTATCTTATCTTTAAAAGATAGCCATTGTCAAGTATTTTGTTTGCTTATACATTTTATGTACATATGTAAACATGTAATTTTTTAAACAAATAGGATCAAACAATATGTACTATTCTTTGACTTGTCTTTACTCAGTTAATATATTCTAAACATTGAGAGAAGTTCATTTTTCATAAATAATTTCCCCAAGAATTAAAATCAAAAGCACAGAATATAATTTCTGAGTGACTTGGCAACCAGAGCTGATGAGCTGCAGATTTCAAGCAGGGCTATTTCTAGTATTGTTTGGAGGCTGGAACAAATCACAGCTCTCCTTCCTCTTGTCCCACTAAAAAGTAAACAAACACGGCAAAAATCCAGGCAAAACTACTTTAAGATGAAGAGTATGGACAGCCTTCAACAGGGAGAAATAATCCAAAGGACTTCCAAGATGTGCCCAGGAAGAAGGGATACTTCTTCCATGGAATTAGAGCGATTGTACGGATGGCATGCTCCAAAGTTTCTGTGTTGTGCATTGCACTTCAAATTTTTTGTATTTGTTTAGCACTAGCAAAGGCTGCCTCTGGCTTCCTCCCTTTACTGTTGCTTAATTGCTAGAAAGTTGGATCAGATGAGTTATAGATGGAAAGGAAAAACTGTGGGATTCTGAGTGTTCAAGTTAGCTGTAGGACCTAGACAGTTGAAGAAAAAAATTGAGATACTCTACTCCTGTCCTCTTAGTACCTGTTCTTCCTCTAGGGCTTTTGGACATCTCTTCTTGCTCTACTCTTAGGATCCTACACTTCTCTTCATCTGAACTAACCCAGTAGGTTTCCTGGGTTTGCCAATGGTGAGTAGAACCTTAGACAGGCTTGTTTACCCAGAACAGATCAAGATCTTTAGAGGCCCTGCTCAGTGACAGGGTTGTGTTAATCTATCAGGTAATTCAGAATAATAGTAGTAACATGACACCTAAGTTAGTTGTAGATATTTTCAGTGGAGTTTAATTTTTTCCATGATATATCATATTATTATTTTTTTAAAGCGAGAGAAACAAAAGTAAATTTGAGTTTAGGTACTTCGTTCTCAGTCAGTTTAAGGGATAATCCTGGACTGGTCATTAGAGGACCATTTAAGATTCCTTTTTAGTTGTATAATTCTTCGATATCGTGGGGTTTGTTAAAACATTAATTTTAAAATTTACTTTTCCTAATTATTAGGTAAATGTATTATTGATGTCAATATTTATATAGTCAGGCAAAGAATATTACTAGTACTTACAGTGTCAAATAATCCCGCATTCATAGTGTTAAATGCAGTCAAGAAATTTTTAATCTACTTGTATTATAAGGACAACAAAGAAAAGTGCTTTAGGGGGAATACATCTGATAAGCTATCAGAAGTGGTCTTAGTATACTAGGCACATTGTTGACTTATTAGGATTATGTTTTCTGTTGCAGAGCCCTTTCTTGTCTTAGAGCACTCCCTACAGTGCATTAGTACTCCTTTATATTTTTACTGTATTGAGTTCACTTTGGAAAATTATATCTTTTTAAATATAAATTTTATCTTCTGAGCAGGTTAAGCCTTTTTGTCTTTAATTCATTTATTATAAGTTGAAGCTATTGGTTTGGGAGTGATAGCATGAAAGCACTATTTCCCTGAAAACTGGAAGAGAGAAAACCTTTTAAAAGGAAAGCTGTCTCTAGTTTTCCTTAATCACCAGTATCTATCTCCATGCCATTGAGAAGCATGCATGGTACTTTAAAGTACACTGGATTATATGTCAGATGTCTCCAGTAAAATGATTTCGAATGATTTGAGTCTATTCTAAGGATCAGTTCTTTAGAATTTGGAGTCTCCCTTTCCTTTTACTTTTTAAATTTAACTTTTTATTTTGAGATAATTATAGATTTACATGCAGTTGTAAGGAATAAAACAGGGTGAGCCCCTGTCCTCTTTACCCACTTTACCCAATGGGAACCTCTTGGAAAAGCACAGTATAATATCCAAACCAGGATATTAATATTGATACAATCCACAAACCTTCAAACTTCACCGGTATTGTATACTTGTACTCATTTGTGTGTGTGTGTATTTAGTCATATACAGTTTATCACTTTTATATATACTCATCATCACAGTCAAAATACAAAACAGTTTTATTGCCACAAAAACCCCTAGTGTTACCCCTTTATAACCTGCTTCCTTTCTCCAGAGAGATTTTTGTTTGTTTTGTTAAGTGCTTATTCATTTATGGTCTTGACTTAAAATAATTATCTTTTAAATTTCCACCCAAAAGTTTTAAAATTTTTACTTATTTGTTTATGTGGTTAAAAAATTTATATATATAAAAGCCTAAGCGACCGAATGACCGGTCGACCAGTTGCTATAATGCGCACTGACCAGGGGGCAGACGCTCAACGTAGGAGCTGCTCCCTGGTGGTCAGTGCACTCCCACAGCCAACTTCCCGTGGCCAGCCAACTTCGCGCAGTCCCTCCCCCCGGCGGCCGGCCCCAACGAATTGGCCCCACTCACCAGCCAGGCTGAAGGACCCCACCCATGCACAAATTCGTGCACCAGCCTCTAGTATATAATATGAAAGTTATCATCTTACTCATGCAGTTCAGTAGTAAGCACGTTCATATTGTTGTGCACTTGATCACATCGTTTTTGTCTCTGCACCCATTAAGCAACAACTCCCCTTTTCCCTCTTCCCCATTCCCCTGGCAGCCACCATTCTGTTTTCTGTTTCTGTTTCTGTGAATTTGACTACTTTAGATACATCATATAAGTGGAATTAAACAGTACTTGTCCTTGTAACTGGCTTATTTTATTTAGCATAAAGTCCTCAAGATTCATCCATGTTGGAACAGATGACAGGATTGCTGCCTTTTTAAAGCTGAGTAATATTATTCCATTGTATGGAATAAATAAGCTTTAATTAATCCATTTTTATTTTCTGACTTTTATTGACTTTTATATTCCATAGAGTGAATACTAGCACAAATAGCAGATGAAATATTTCGCATATAGAACATTTGTATAACAAGGATAAATATCAATGTGACATCTAAACATTCTAGAGTTAGCTTTTTTAGCTATAGGTACCAGAAACCTTATCTGAACTAATTTAAATAAAAAGAGGGATTTTATTACCAGGAAACTGAGATTGAATCTGAGGATGGAATGTGTCAGGGCCTTAGAAATGGAACTTGGTTGTCTCTAGTCTTTGATGGACCTGTTGTTGTTTTTTCACTGTGTATGGTGGCTTTCATCACATGACTAGAGGCCTGGTACATGGATTTGTGCACCGGTGGGGTCCCTCGGCCTGGCCTGTGCCCTCTCGCAATCTGGGACCCTCGGGGATGTCGGACTGCCAGTTTCGGCCCGTTCCCCACAGGCCAGGCCGAGGGACCCAACTGGTGCAAGAATCTGTGCACCAGGCTGGTTTCAGCCTGATCCCCACAGGCCAGACTGAGGGACCCCACCGGTGCACACATCTGTGCACTGGGCCTCTAGTATGCATATAAGATCTTTGATTAATCTCTTCCTGCCCTCCCCTTCCCCCCTTCTCTCTGAGATTCATCAGTCTGTTCCATGTTTCCATGCCTGTGCGTTGAGCGTCTGCCCCCTGGTGGTCAGTGTGCGTCATAGCTACCAGTCGAATGGTTGCTTAGGCTTTTATATATAGAGATGATGAAATGGCTCTTTACAAATCATGAACCCTTTGGGTTCAGCCTCCCAAAGACCTACTTGCTCAATTGGTCCCAGTACAGGATTCCCAGGGGAAGGGAATGACTGGCGTGGCTGGCCTCAATGGCCTGCCCTAATATGCCTGACCACAAGCATGGTCAGGAAATTGGAGCCGATGCGAGGGCTAAGCAATATCTATGGGAGCTGTGTGCATCAACTGGGAGGCTGTGGTTGTCAGAGAGAAAGGGAATGAAGGCTAGAGAGACCAAATGAAAGGTATGCTCATTAACTCTATAAACTCAACTTCCGTGAACAGTAATTGAGGATATATTGAAGAATAATGGAGTTGAAAGTTTTGGGTAAAGACTATTAAAATTATATAAGGCAAAGAATTCTTAATAAAATAAAAAATTCTGACTTTAATAGTGTATATAAAGTTGAGGGCCAAGGTGGGAATCACATGAAATTCTTAAAATTATAAAAGATAAATTTACTGACTAATTTCTGGAATGATTTGAATTGAGGAATAGATTTTCAAATGTCTTAGCACCACTATTTAGTGTAGAAAATAGAAAATTACATATCAAACAGTAATAAGTTGTACAGTTAACTTCAGGAGATTTGAAAATATATGAGGGGTGTCTTAGACAAATTGATGCACTATGGCTACATAATGGAAATATTTAGAGAAAATTAGTGTGTAGCCTTACCTTCTGAAGTCATTATTTTCCCATCAAGCATTAGCAAGGATGGTAATTGTTAAAATTTATTTAGTACTGCTATGTGTCAGGTACTGTAGTACTGTAGTAGGCATTTTTGTATCTATTATCTCATTTAACCTTCCCCAAACCAGGAGTGCTCACAATTTGTTAAATTGAATTTTCTAAGATATTTTTCCACAGAATTATTAACACTTTGCTTTTCCTTTCAGAGATGTGGTATTGGATCTTTCTCTGGGCTCTCTTCTCCTCTCTGTTTGTCCATGGTGCTGCGGGAGTGCTGATGTTTGTCATGCTGCAGAGGCATAGGCAGGGGAGAGTGATCTCCGTCATTGCAGTCAGCATTGGATTTCTGGCTTCTGTAACTGGAGCAATGATCACTAGTAAGTTGATTTTGTTTTGTTTAAGAACAGAATTTTATATGCACTTACGGTTTTGGTAACATTATTCTTATTGTACCTGCAACATGTATTCTTTCATGTAGAATATTTTTTCAGCACTAATTGCACTTCACCTAGGATAAAGATCAGTTCACTTATTCATTAAAATAGTTTTTTTACTACTATGTGAAGACTCATTATGTTTTGTGGGAAATGCAACAACTTGTAAAATTTGGCAAAGGGCAAAGCAATTCATGGGAAATTGTGTCTTACAGTGGATGTAATTTCTGCTTTAAAGGATCTCACTATCTCATAAGGGGGAAAGGTAGGCACACAAATATGATAGTGATGGTTGTCCTTAAAAAAAAGTGAAAATATAGCCTTTAGGTCCTTGATGTCATCTGCCCGTAACTACAAAATAAAATTGTACTTCCTTCTTATACACAAATTACGTCACAAATCTCCTTGGCCTATTAGAAATTGGCCACTTTAGAGTGTCCTCTAGCTATTTGCAAGTTTTCTACTGTGCTGCCTCGTGTATTTCATGCATGGTCTCAGGTTCATTCCCTCTGCCCACTCCTCTTTTTTGTTTTAATTCTCTACTATTATTTTTAGAGGAGGAAAGGAGAGGGAGAAGGAGAGGGAGAGGGAGAGAGGGAGAGAGAGGGAGGGAGAGGGAGAGGGAGAGGGAGAGAGAGAGAGAAATATCAGTGTAACAGAGAAACATTGATTGATTGCCTCCTGTACACACCCTGACCAGGAGATCGAACCCGAAACCTGGGTATGTACCCTGACCGGGAATGGAACCCGAGACCTTTCAGTGTATAGGACGACTCTAACCAGCTGAACCACCTGGCCAGGGCTGGCCCTCTCCTCTTAACACTGTCCTTAGGCTCCAACTCTAGCCTTGGGTTCAAAGCATTAGTACTGGTTTCTGTTGTGCTAGTTGAGCCAGAACTTCGATGCATCTTGTTCAGATTGGAGGATGCCACAGTAGCTTCCTTAATGTGGTCCTGCCAGAAACCAGCTGCTTTTCTATGCTGTTGTTGATCGTCAGTGCCACTGATTACTAGAGGCTTACATTGCCCTTTGCTTCTGGTCTACCAATACTTCCAAATGTCTGGGGCAGCTCACTGCTCCCACTCTGTTTTGAGACTCTCCACAAAGGACTTTTTCCTTTCTGGTTGGTTCTTAACCCCAGAAATAAGAGGAGGTCCTTTTCTTCTATAGCTCTAAGGCCTCTCCTTTTATGTCCCACACTCACCTTTTCCCAGAGTGATGGGCATTTGCTGCCTCAAGAGAAAAGCCCTATGCTATGTCTCTGGGTATGTCCTATGGCACTAATAAGACAATCATAAAATAGTTGTGAGAAGTGGTGAGTAGCCTATTTTTTCCTTCCTTCATTTACTATTTATTTTTTATGTTATTATCTTGTATTAGGTTTTTGTTGTTGCTGGATTCAACCAGTAACTTTATCATAAGGTGCTTCATCCATTTTGCCATAGATAAGGTTTAAAGCACGTGCTCAGGTTTAGCTGAAGTATAGTATGTGCATAGTGAAGAAATAGGAGATTCAGCTGGAAGATAGAATGGAGCCAAATCCCAGAGGATCTTGGAAAGCCAGCCATAAAGTGCTGCAGTCTGGGGAAAGCAAACAGATATTTTTGAGTGGAGTTGGCAAGGGGCAAAACAGTTCAATGGGAAAATGTGTCTTATAGCTAAATATAGAATACTAGTGTCCTGGTGCACGGATTCATGCACATTGAAAGGAAATTAATTAGAATAAATATTTTAATATCGCTATTCACGTCTTGCTAATGAAAAGAAAATAAATTCTACTGAGTCTCCTATCTACCTACTCTAGGACTTCTGTGAGGGTGAAATGAGATGAGGCATGTGAAAACGCTTCACAAACATTCAGTTAAAGTGTAAAATGTTTGCGCCTGGCTATAAAGCAAGTCGTTTTCCTGGGCTGAAGAAACTCCAATGATGCTAGTTGCTAGGGAGAGGAAGCCGGGCATTGCTACGTGATGTCATTACCCCGCGCCCACAGTGACTGTTTCTGGGCTGGGCTGGGCTTTGGGTCACATTTTGCACCATGGGGTCTTGGCAGCATTGGTTGCGATTTGGTGGGGTGGTGCTCTGGGGTGGTGGTGGGGCCTGTGTCCCACTTGGGGGAAGCCAAGTGTTGGTTTGTTAGCACCAGGTCTGTGGTGCTGTTTATTTTTAAATAGCCAGTGCGCATCATGGCAGCTCCTGCGTTGAGCATCTGCCCACTGGTGGTCAGTGCGCATCATAGCTACTGGTTGGGTGGATGGACACTTAGCCTTTTATATATTTAGATATGTGAGGAACCAAGAGAAAACTCTTGAAGAGCGGGGACCTTGTCTGTCTTCCTCACTACTGTATCCCCAATAGCACTACCTGGAACATAATAGATACTAAAACGATGCTGGTTGGTTGGATGGATGGATGAATAGATGTAGTGAGTGAGAAAGAGCAGAGGAAAGGAAGAAAGAAAGGATGGGCAAGAAAAGAGAAAGAAAGGGAAGGGAGAGGAATTAAGAGGCAATAAGTATAATTTGAACTTGAGGGTGGATCTTAGCTAGAGTGGCAGTGGGTTGGAAAAGAAGGAGTTAATGTTAGGACGATGGCAGAGGGAAAACCCCCAATTAATTACTATTTACTTTGATGGCATGCAAAGAGGCATGAAAGGAATTCCAGTGTTTCTGATGTGGCCTCTGTGGGAATTGTGAAACAGCGAATGAGGAGAAAGAAGGAACAGCTTGTTCAGGGGTCATAGAATGTGTGTGTGTGCTTATTGGCATAAATGTTTAAAGAAATGTCATTCTACTTTCATTTATCTCAGTGGTATATATACATTTATTGCCTACTTTCACTTCAGTCAAGAATAAAAATAAGCCAATGATTTTAGAAACTGCAATGTTATATGTTAAAATCTTCGAAAATGTAAGTCTGAAACAATTTCAAGTAAACAAATGTTAGTAAGAAAACATTTAAATTTATTCTGGCTGATTTTCTGACCTGCAAACACTTGAATTAAGAAAACTAGCCAATGTGAATATTTAACTAAATTTTCCTAATGTGATTTGTGAGTGTCGAGCACTCACAGCTTTATATTCAGTGCAGCAAACGATTCTTGGATATCTATATTGAACAAGATACTGAATATCTATATATATAAAAAGCTAAGTGACTGAGCACACGCTCATCCAATGCTGGTACATGTGACGCGCACTGGCAATTTAAAAACAAACGTTGACTTGTGCATGTGCAATACATATTAAAATATTTTGTATTTTAATTATATAGTACTATATTATATATACTATATTGACATGTAATTTTTTGCAGTAACGTAATTACCACACAAATCTTCTAATTAATTTCCTTTCAATGTGCACGAATCCATGCTCCAGGCCACTAGTTGATACATATCTCTCATATTTTGCTACTTCTTAGATTTTATTCCAAGAATAGAGTGATTTTTTTTCATTTTAGTTAGTATAGATAGTTAATACCAATATTGAAAGAAACTGAGTTACTATGTAATGCCATCTTTTGGCAATATACACATACCTGTCTAATTTTAGCAAGTTATTAAGTGACATCTCATTGTTGGTTAATTTGCATTTCTCTGATTATTTAATGAATTAGAACATCTCTTCATTTCAGGTATCTGGCATTCAGGTCATAATTTGCCCCTTGGTCTAAAGTCTACCTTTGTATTTGGTGTTAGATAGGATTCTAGGAGCCTTTTCTTCCTCCCAGAGAGGAAGGCAATTTTTACACCAGCCACTAAAGTATACAGCTCCTCATTGATTTGTAGTATCTCTTTCTTTTTGTGTATTATGCCCTCAGGTACATGGATATGTCTCTGAACCTCTGTTCTGATTTGTTAGTCTTTTTATCTGTTCTTGCAGCAAGGCCACAGTTTATATCCCTGTGATTTTGTGGTGCAGGCAAACCTCACTTTATTGTGCCTCACGTTATTGTGCTTCACAGATGTTGCATTATTTTACAAACTGAAGGCAAACCCTCCACCAGCAAAAAGGTTATGACCTGCTTTATTGCAATACACACTCTATTGCAGTGGTCTGGAACCAAACCCACAATATCTCTGAGGTATGCCTGTATTTCTCAATATCTGATAGGGCTAGGTTCCTCTCCTTTCTGTTTTGTTGTTTTTTTTAAACTCAGGGTTAACATAGCTTTTCATGTATATTGACTCTTTCATGTAAATTTTTAAAAATATCTACTGAGTTCCTAAAAAAGTATAACTATGATTTTAATTGGGATTTAATTGAATGTAGAGGTTAATATGAAAGGAATTGGCATATTAAATTAATCCACCTAAGAACATTAATATACCTTTATTTATTTATTCAGATCAACTTCTGCCTTTTGTTAGAGGTTTAAAATGTTTTTTTCCATAGGAAGGTTATATATTTTAAGTTATTTCCTAATCTCATTATGCTGTGGTTATCTGCATGGTATCTCTTTTGACTACATTGTTTATTTTTATTGGTGTAGAGAAATGCTGCTAAGTTTTGTATGTTGAATTTATAAAAGATTACAAAACAAAAACACTGGTTCTTTGCAAAGTTAATTAGATAAATAGATTACTAGCAATCTAATAAAAAATGAGTTAAGGCAGAAAAATAAAATATAAAACAATCTAGAAAAAATAGCCCAGCTGGTGTGGATCAGTGGTTGAATTTTGACCCAGGAACCAAGAGGTCAAAGTTCAATTCCCAGCCAGGGCACATGCCCAGGTTTGGGCTTGATTCCCAGTGGGGGCATGTAGGAGGCAGCCAGTCAATAATGTTTCTCTCTCACCAATGTTTCTACCTCTATCTCAGTCCCTTCTTCCCTCTCTAAAATCAATAAAAACATTTTTTTAAAAGAAAAAAGAACCACAGATCCAATAATACAGATGGGGTAAAGAATTATTAAAATAACATAGTTTTGTAACAGGTATATATTTCTAAATATAAATATCAAAATTAGCATAAGAAGAAAGAGAAAATAAGAATTGGACAATAAGTATTTTTAAACAATTGAAATATTAAATACTCCTTCTCCCCAAAGAACTCCAGGCCCAAATGGGTTTGCAGATAACTCCCAAATTTCCAAGAAACAGTTAGTTCCTATTTTATTTAAATTATTGTAGAAAATGCAAAGAGTAAAAGCTGGGGCCACAGCTTATTTACCAAGGCCAAAGTAATCTTGCTGCTAAGCAAGGTAAATACGACACAAGAACAGAAAAGTGCAGGCTCATTACCTTACACATGTTATCCTAGGTATGCAAAGATAGCTCAGTATCAGAAGGAAGTATGGCTGTGTGCCAATAAAACATTATTTATGGATGCCTAAAATTTGAATTTTATACAATTTTCATTGATCATGAAATAGTATTCTTTCTTTGGTTTTTTTCAACTGTTTAAAAGTATAGAAATTGTCCTTAGCTTTCATGCTGTACAAATACAATGGTGGGCCAGATTTGACCTGCAGAGTATAATTTGCCAAATCCCTGATCTAACTACACTCAGTGATAGAATCAACACACTAGTAAAACTAAATTTGCCTTAAACTTCATATTTGCTTTCTCTTAGGAAATGAGGGGGAAATAAAATCCCTTTCTTGGTACACCCCTGCAGGCAGTTTGTGTTGCTGTATATTGACACCAACTCAGCCATATTGCTTTCCCCACCAGTCTTCTCTAGCCCCTTAATACTTTTGGGATCTTTTCTTATTCCTAATTCATTCCTTTTGCCATTGATCATATTGGAAGTGCCTAACACGTATCATTTATTCCAAGCACCCTATTCCACTTCTGTCTTCTTCATTCTCACACAGCTTAGCCTCGTATTTCACCAAGAAAATAATGTTCATAATGTTTGTAATTTTTCAGCTGACTGTTGTTCAACAAAATACATCGTAAAGTGAATGAAAACTAAAGCACACATTGGGGAAAAACATTTGTGATCATATATAAATATGTAAGATTAATATCCAAACTATATATTTTTAAACTCTATTAATTAAATAAGAAAAAGATGACCCAATAGCAAAATAGACAAAAGATTTGACAACATTTTATAGATGTAGAAACTTTAATTGCCAGTAATGTGAAAACAGTATCAGTCACATCAGGAAAATGCAAATTAATCACAGAGATAACACTTCCCAACCACCAAATTGACAAAATAAAAAAACAGAAGATAAGTGTATGGATTTGTAACTGGAATATAAATTGGTACAACTACTTTGGAAAATAATTTGGCATTTTCTAGAGAAACTAGTGATTACATGTGTGTGCCAGGTGTTACATGCAAGGATATTCACAGAAGCAGTGTTCGTCATTGTGCTTTGGGGCCATAATTAAAATAAAGGTGACTTGGACACAAGCATCATGATACTACGACAGTGGATCTGATAACTGAGAAGGCCACTAAGTAGCTGATGCCCAGAGAGCACCTGCAGTGTAGAGATGTTAGACAAGGGAGATTTCCACGTCTGGGCAGAACAGCAGGAGATCTCATCACACTGCTCAAATGGGCATGCAGTTTAAAACCTATGAATTGTTTATTTCTGGAATTTTCCATTTAATATTTTTAGACCACAGTTGACCACAACAAAGAAAGAGAAAACATAAAACAATATATATTTTTTACTAGTACATACATACAGGTGTATGTGTATGCAGTAGCTGAAACCACAGGAAGTGAAACTGTAGATAAAGGGAACTTATGTATATACTAGTCACCGGGTGCACGAAATTTGTACATGGGGGGGGGTGTCCCTCAGTCTGTCCTGCACCCTCTCCAATCTGGGACCCCTTGGGGGATGTCTGACTGCTGGTTTAGGCCCGATCCCATAGGACCGGGACCACTAGCTCCTAACCGCTCACCTGCCTGCCTGCCTGATCACCCCTAACCACTCTGCATGCCAGCCTTCTCTCCCCCAACTGCCCCCCTTTGCCGGCTTTATCGCTCCCAACTGAACTGCCCTCCATGCCGGCCTGCTCGCCCCCAACTGCCCCCCCAGCCGGCCTGCTTGCCCCCAACTACCCCCCTGTCAGCCTGCTTGTCTCCAACTGCCTCCCCCACCAGCCTGCTTCCCCCCAACTCCCCCCCCCCTTGCTGGCCTGATCGCCCCCAACTGCCCCCTCACTGCTGGCCTGATTGCCCCCAACTGCCCTCCCCTCCTGGCTTGATCGCCCCTAACTGCCTCTGCCCCGGCTCCACCATCATGTCTTTGTCCGGAAGGACGTCTGAAAGGTCTCCCGGAAGGTCTCCTGGTCTAATTAGCATATTACCCTTTTATTAATATAGAGGCCTGGTGCATGGGTGGGGGCCGGCTGGTCTGCTTTGAAGGGGGTTCCGGTTCAGGGTGGGGGTCTCCGCTGGGGGGCATGGCCAGCCTGGGTGAGGGGCTGATGGCTGTTTGCAGGCTGGCCACGCCCCCATCGGGGTGAGGGTCCCTGCTGGGGGGCATGGCCGGCCTGAGCGAGGGGCTGAGGGCTCTTTAGGGACAGTTTGCAGGCTGCCCAAGCCCCTGGCTTTGTCCCGAAGAACATCCAGAAGGTCTCTGGAAGGTCTCCCGGTCTAATTAGCATATTACCCTTTAATTAGTATAGATGGCATATAATTGTTTTCATCATGTTAAACTTAAAACGTTATGGATGAGTCAGGGGTCTCTTTTGAGTAGTATTCCTAAACCAGTGCTCTTTTCAAATGTAATCCTATTTTCAGTTTGGTTATGTATCCCCCAGATTTTTGCTTCTACATTACATGCATGCATGCATACATACATACATGTACATGTGTGCCTACATGTATACACATACATCTATAAAAATATAAGGGTAATATGCTAATTAAACCAAACATCCTTCCAGACGAAGCTGGGGCCGGAGGGAAGCTTGGGTTCTGGGTGCCTGCCGGTGGCCGGAGGGAAGCCAGCCTGGGTCCCCAGTGCCTGCAGGCAGCCAGAGGGAAGCCAGCCCGGGTCCGGGTGCCAGAGGGAAGCCAGTGCTGGCGGCTGGGGGAAGGAAGGTCTACTCGTGCACGAATTTCATGCGTCAGGCCTCTAGTATGTATGTATGTACTATTAAAGAATATATATCGTTTTATGTTTTATCTTTATTGTATAAATTGTATGTTTTAAGTTTTTTCTTTGTCAATTCATATAGATTTATATTTTTCTTCTGAATAGATTTCTCTGTCAAGTAATTATAAATTTGGTGTCCTCAAATAATTTATCTCTGTTCTTATTTCTATATATTTGACCATTCTAGGATATGTAGACAGCTTTTTCTAGAAAAATAGTTTTAAGGCCTTTCAATCTATTAGATGGCATTCTATAATTTAAATATTTCTTACTTTATGATTTCCAAATGTGCTTTTAAAATCATCCACTTAGATACATTATTATATATACTGTGTTAATAAGGTCAAGTGTTGAATCAGATGGGTCTGAGGCTTCTTGTAATGGTGATTCTCTCATTCTTGGAAGTGCACGTTATCTAAAAATCTTTTCTGAAACAAACATCAAGTTCATCTTCTGTTTTTATTAGATATCACCATAGTGGTCTCCAAATAACCTTAATAAGCAATTTTATATGCTAGATTGTAAAATGGAATCGTCAAATATCCTGATATTTTATATGACATTTAAAAATTAATTTATTTTACTGAAAGAAATAAAATGATTAATATTAAAATGAATAATTTAGAAGTTACATTAAATTGTGTAGTTTTTGTATTATCATTTATAATTATCAATGTATTGTTATGTATGTTTATAAAATGCTGATGAATTGTGGCCAGTTCAATGCCCAGATGAGAGATTATGTACAATAATGAATTATTTATTTTTATGAACATATTTTTTGTGTCAAGCAACATGTAGCATAAATGTATTTTGTGTTGAATAGAAAAGCCTGTTTTTAAGTTAAGTGGGTAAATGTGGTATGATAAAGAGTAACTTTTACCAATCACATGGAAATTCCTTTATAGAAAATTTATAAAAAGAGAATGAACAATGACTAACTCAGTTTTGATGAAATGAAAAGAGATCTTAAGTTAAAGCCATGCAGTCTCTCTAAAATGAATGAATGTGCCCTTTTGTTTCTCTCCCTCCTATCTCATCCAGGTGCAGCAGTAGCAGGCATTTACCGAGTAGCAGGGAAGAACATGGCCCCTTTGGAAGCCCTGGTGTGGGGCGTTGGACAGACTGTACTGACATTGATCATCTCCTTTTCAAGGATCCTCGCCACACTTTGAGGTTTCTGTGGAAATGTCTGACCTTACATAAGGAAACAGATGTACAGATTCTCTGAAAATGGCATTGTTAGCAAGTGGGAATTAAATTATACAGGAATCCTGGAAGGAGCAGGTCCGAGCATAAGGCCTTGAGCTGTGTGGAAAGATTGCCCTCTGGTGTTCAAGTGATTGCACTACCGCACTGCACCTTACGTGCCTCCATCCCAGGCAAGGCGAATTACACTATGAGAAGCTACAAGAAAACGCACCTTGTTTAGCTGCCAATCAGGTTAACATTGGTGTTGAATCATCGTTTTTAACAGTGTTGTGTTTAAGTTACAGGGACATTTTGAAGAATTGATATATGTGCCAAACTCTCTTCTTTTTTTATAAATTGGTCATGTGACAGTATGCAAGTGTAGATGTAGATGAGACAAGTGCTGTGAAAGTGTTTGACATGAATTCAGGTCACGTAGTGAGACTTTGTAACTAAATCCTGTGTGAGTGCCGAATACCGAATTGTTTACTAGGAGATAAATTATTTTACTTTTAATGTTGAACTTTTCTGGGATTTAGGGCTTTAATATGGTTAGGCATTATTGTTATTTAATTTATGTGGAAAATAATATTAATGGAAAACTAGCTAAACTCTTTTAAGGACTCAAAGTAGATCTATAGGGTGCATCCTTTTCATGAACATAAATAATACTTTTAATAGTTTCCCTCATACATAAATGTTCTATTGATATGAATTAAAAAACTTTATCGGTAACACACATTGATTGTAGTTTGTGTGTCATAAAAATATTATTTGAAATTTTTCTTATAAATTTTGTTAGAAAACAAGTCTGAAATGCATGTTGCATTCTTTGACCCTCTAAAGAAAGTTTTGTCCTGTGTCTCATGGAGAAAACATCTTCACAACTGTTCCTCAGTGGGGTTCTATGACTTGTTGCCTATGTCTTGATTTTTGACAAAGTGTAAGCAGTCTTTAATTCTGGAGTATTAACTATATTTAAAGAGTGGCCTAAATTAGGCTGTGAAAACAAAAAGCCTCATTTGTAGATAAGTAACAGTAAGTTATCTAGGGAGATTAATAAACTATCTTACTTTGGATATGTGGTAACAAAATTTCACTAAATAAGAATTGAGGAATTTATAAATCTGGCAGTCCATCTCAGTGTTTAAAACAGTACTGAAATATATTGGAGTGATTCATTTTAGTTCAGTTCTTGATTTATGCCAAGTTTATTAGAATGTGATGGCATTTATTAGAAATGAAAAAGTCTTTAGTATAAAATATTTTAAGAGATTTTGGCAACATATACTTATTTTTAAGACTACAGGAAGTAAGGGAAACAGAACCTGCTTGAACTTATCTCCTCCTGACATTTTTTAAAACCAGGTACAATTATAAATGTTCTTACTCAAAGGAGAGCTATTGCAGAGAATTCGAAGTGAAGGACAATCCAGAAAAACTGCTTTAGAACCTGGTTGGGTAACAAGTAGGTTCCTATTAGGTCCCATTCAAATTTAAGGCCTTTGCTACACAGGTCACTTTTCCTTCACCAAAAAAATAGTGAGGAGTTGGTGGGGGAGGGGAAGCTACTTTTACCAGTAGGAAAGCCAATTTGGGGGATTTTCTAATTCTGTGGCTTGGAAAATTTTTAAAAAATAACAATTAGCATCTATGCACTTAGAGATCTTTGAAGTAAATCTTAAAATTGATTTTAAATATGTATAACCCTGAAATTAATTTCATGTGTTCTTTATATTTTTGATGTTTTCCAAATTAAATTTAGGCATAAGTTTTCCAAATCAATTTGATTTATCCTTTTCTCTTAGTCTTGAATTCAGTGTTCTTTCTTTATGTTGGCTACTCTGTCAATAATTTAAAGTGTTTGTATTCTTTGAGAGGAATTACCAATAACATATTGAAGATGTACAAAATGAAAAATTTTAACATATGGTTATGTTGTGATTTAAGAAAGTTATCATGGTGAGGTAATATGGAGCATATGGTTCAGAATCAAAAATTAACCAGAAAATAACTTGGTACATAAATATGTGAATGCGTGGACCAAAGAGATTCAAACTCCCATTTTTACTCTTAGAATGGAAGTATAATTTGATATTTAATAATTAGTTTGTAGAGTGTCCTAATCTCATTATCAAGTTGCTTTATATTATGAAGTGTGTGTGTGTGTGTGTGTGTGTGTGTGTACTTTTAACTTGTAGGGGAATTCTTGTTTTGTTTTTGCTGTTTTCAGCTCTTTCCATTGGGATTTTGTGCAGCTGTCACTCTTTTGATGTTTTGAAATATAGTTGAATGGTGTGCATTGATGAAATTGTCTTAATAGATATTTCTATGTTGAGATTTTTTTAAAGTTAGTGGTTTTCCTACAGATACAAGAAACATGTAATGATATATATCCACATACACCTATATACCATTATATACGTCCACACAAAGCTACCATGTATGAACGCAGTCTAGCTGGACAGCTTCTGTTCCAGGAACACAAACATGCTCTAGTGGAGAATTTGTTCAGCTGAATGATCTTTTAAATGGGTTTGAGGATGTTTGAGATTTTTTAATTTGGGGAGATTTTTCTTGGTTTGATAGTGCTGGAGACCCTTGTTTTTGATATGACAAAAGCTCTTATTGATGTATTTGCGTTACACCTCTTTAAAATGTGTATGTGATTTAGCAGTAAATTCTCTTTGATTAAAGCAGGAAGGATAGAGGAAATCATCTGCAGTTTACACATCTTTATTTTTTTTCATGTGTAGTAAAGTATTGCTGACAATGAAATCAGTTCCCCCAAAGAAGAGACTCCTATATGCCCAAACTAGTTATTATTTAACATCCTGGTTAGAAATGCCCATAGGCCAGAGTTTAGTCAGGGGACCTCATCTAAACTATAAATAACGCTGAAAACCTTTAAATGAAGGAGGTGCAAATAATCTGCCCATGGGATGATTCCATGGGTTGTCTAGAATAAGGAAAGTCCTAAATGATGGCTATATTCAGTGCTTGCAGCTTAATTATTCTTACTGTAGATCTCAGTGTTTATCAAACAGTGTTATAGTTTGTAACCCAATATACTAAGTGTTTGCAGCATTCAGTATTTCCATTCCCCTAAAAATTGTAAGGGTCTTATTTGTACTTTAAGTGAGAAGTAAAGAAATGAGCTGCCCTGTATATCATATATTTGTGATGTAAGGAACAAGGGTAATTTAAAATCAAAGAATATTGTTGGGAAAAGTCTTTAGAGAACTTTAATTAAGTTGAGGAGAGTGGGGCTGACATGTTAACATGCCCAAGCAGACACTTACACACCAACTAATTCAATTGTTTAAATATTTTTGATGGACCTACTATGTATGTACAAAGCTGTATGGAGTATTTTCTATAGGAAGTACAAGGATGACTAAGATAGGATTCCTGCCCTTGAGTTCACCAAAAGCTAGCAAGATGGTTTTAAATCCTAAAAAGACCAGAACAACATTTTGCTTCCTGATTCTAGTTGAGAGTTCAAATCTCCCCCCCTGCCCCGACCCCAAATTCTGATTTTCCCAGTTTATCTACAAAATGGAGTTTTGGTAACTGAGTTACCATCACTGTGACAGAGAGATAAGAATACTAGACTGTAAGCCAGAGACATAAATGTGAACCTAGGCCCTGTTGCTTGTCGACTTTTTGTTCATGAATGGCAAAGCAGTAAATGTTTGACAATAAATGATAGTCCATAGAATTTTTTAAATTATATTTTGCAGTGCTATTTAATATGTTGTTTTGTAAAATACATTTGTCTTCTTTCATTTCCACATTTTCTCTACATTTATTTTAAGAAGGAAAATTAAAATAGCCCTTATAATCTTGCTTCCTTTACCTCCTCTTTACCTCTTTATTTTTTTAAAATCAGCAGATACTCATCTAGGAGCATTTTTGGGGTTGGTGGTAGTAGAAATTGCCAAAGCAAGCAGGATTAAATTACAGGTTGTGTTTACCACTGGTTAAGATAGAAAAGGGTAGAGGTAGCCAATATTTACTCCTTTACCTTATCCTGCCACTTTCCTTGGATTCATTCAACCAACATTCATTGAATCTCTACTACATGCAACTTACCATGTGTTTAAGGATGAAGTGTCTCCTCTTCTGCCCCATGGGTGTTGGCTTCACAGCACAGTGCAAATTCTATAGGGAAACAAAAGAGTGTCTACCAAGTCCTTCCTTTATGGGTCAAGGTGCTTCAGCTACTGTTCATTTGCTTTTACTTAAAAAGAAATACTGTTATTTTACATTTATGTCCATTTTATAATTCAAGAAGTAACAAGATGCTAAGAATATTTTCTCAAACTACTTCACTTTTGCTATTACAATTTTTCTCTCTCAGAAAATCTTAATCGGAATCTCTTCAAAGAGTTGTTATTTGTTTTTAAGATATGAAGAATGCAGAAAGTTATTGAAGAAATCCAAGTAGGCCTAGATTGCAGAGAAGTTTGGCAATACTTGGGTAACTGGGTAAATTGCTGTTTCTTTTCCTAATCAAAGTGAGACTCTCAGTGGTTAAAATTGACTACTAATCAATTTTAATTTCCCTCAAGGGTCATTCCTTTTTGTAACATCTTAGAGGTAGACTCTCCAGGATAAGAAGGACATTATTTAGTTAAAAATGATGAAAAAATTTCAAACATGTGGTAGCATTTTTGTAGCAGAGGGAAGTTTTAAGATAGGAAGACACATTGGAGGGGTGACACACAGAACAAAGGCATATCATGAATACTCAATATTCTGTGAACAATCCCCCTTGTGTTAAGAATATAAATTACACTGTATGCATATGTGTCCTGCATGTTTACAGAATGTGGGGGTCTTTACCTGTGAGACAACTTCCACAAAGCTTTGAAATCATTATTGTGTGTGTGTGTGTGTGTGTGTGTGTGTGTGTGTGTGTGTGTGTTTTGCTGGTAGGTTTGCCCTTCTAACTTAAGGATCTCTGTTCAGTGTAGGAATACAGTGCTTTTGAGGTTGCTGAATAAATTATCTAAAAATGTATTTGAATTTGTTTTAGAGGAAGTGGTGCTTAATATATAAAATATTTTCAGTAAATGTGGAGATGTACCAGTTAATACTTTATTAAATTAGTGGAAGCACCCAAATTTCTGAGTGAACTGAACTGTGAACTGTAACCACCTCCTCCCTGCGTTTAGAGGACTCATCTTCACATTCTTTACATTCATTGCCTGTGTGTGAAGCTATTTATTATAATCCTTTCTTGATTTGAGAACCAATTTAGCAATTTCTTAAAAATCTCCTCCCTCCACACAACTGTCATATGTTGGGGTTTAAACATATGTACAGTTTGTTAATAGAATGAGAAGTGCTGGTTTTGAAGAGAATGTACTAGATACTAACGAGACAAATAAATACTAAGGAGAGTCAAGAGAGCATGAACCTTTAACATATTGTTTTAGATTCTATAGTGCACCTATATGCATTTTCCTTCAATGGTAGCATGACTGCCCCCTTTTGGGGAATGCATTTAGAAATGTAACTGAAACTGGAAAGCAGTATAATATAAATATATAGAAAGAGGAGCTATTAACTCATAATTACCATAACAGGAACACCTTTGCTCCAAAATTGTTATATATTGGGAAATTCTAAAAAGCATCATTTTTAGAGCCTTGTATAAATGAATGTTAAGTTGATAGTATTACTGATGATGAAAAGTTTTCTTTGTGTTTAAATTAGTGTATTTGCACAGCA